CTGAATACGTGCATAATACGTACATTTCTCTTATTGAAAAAATTTATATTGGGATCGATAGGGAACTTAGTCCTGCTCATAACCATAACAGACATCACTGGGTCGGCAGCCAAAGGTTAACATAAAGAAAGGGAATTCTAGTTACCTTACCCTTTCCCAAGGCTACATCACTGGGGCGATAGCCCCAGTTGGTGCACACCAAAAGGAGAATTCTATTTGGTAAGGGTTATAATACTAAAGAGCGACCGAAGGCCGCCTACGCAGAAAGGAGAATTCTACTAAGTGAAAATTCCGAATTAAAAATCCGCTTTTTTTATTCAAAATTAGTCTGGCAGCACCAAGTTTGATGTTATTTTGCTATCTTATTCATCGTTTATACGAAAACTTTAACAACAAATTATATAAGATCTACAGGGTTGATAGACAAAAAAGGTATTTTTAAAATAAGGGGTCCTATTCTACCGCCCCTCATCCCCCTTTTTCTAGAATTTGCCGTCCGTCTACTAAAATTTTCCCATGGGGTCTTCACTTTTAGAATCAAAATACCCCGCGCCCCCTAGACACCCAATTTTTTTTTCTCGGGTCGATTTTCACTCAAATTTTCCGGACGTTAATTTCGTTTTTGCCATTCTTTGGACTAAACATTTGCACCCCTATTCTGCAGCTGTTTCGTATTCGGATGTTGCTACGAATCGTAGAAATAGTATGCTGCAATTCGAATCGTATTTCGAACTTTCGAAATTCGTAACAATGCCATGCCTAAAAAAGAAAGAGTAAGCTTTTTCGCGTAATTTTGTACGAAAACAATTGTGTGTCGGAGGCGAAAAAAAAGTAGTAAATCGATGTGTGTTTGCAAGAAATATTGGTGGTGTTCATTAAAACAGATAAATTTGCCTTTCGCATATACGTATATTTTTATCCACTGNAGTAGTAAATCGATGTGTGTTTGCAAGAAATATTGGTGGTGTTCATTTAAACAGATAAATTTGCCTTTCGCATATACGTATATTTTTATCCACTGCTTTATATAAACGAGCAAAAAAAGAATCTTTGTTGCCCCTTATCGAGAAACTTGGGTTTAGTTATTTGTACAACGATTTTCAGTTGTTGTAGTCAAACGCATAACCCGAATCCAAAAACTTTAACATACACGTGTAATCAAAGGATTCAAATTTTATTTAAGATAAATGTTTCAAATTTCCTACCACTATCTTATTAATAAACTCGGTTTCACTATGCACTTTTTTGCAAATTTCAACGTGGGTGGTTATATGCACAAGAAATGTTGTACACCTTTGACATGCGGAAGCCCCTCTTTCCCGCAACACAAAAAGGAGAATTCGACTTAGTAAGGGTTGTAATCCCTAAGCGCGGCTTACTCCGCTGCTATTCCTTCAAAATAAGTAAAATCAAATAATTTTACTATAAATAAGCGCTTCATGGGTGTTTTTTAATTCCTTTCCACTTTGTTTTTCTTCATTCAGCTATCTTCGAAAAACAACTGATAACTGGCAATGCTGCACATGTTTCCGCAAGGGTTGCAGCATGTGGATTTTTCGGTTTTCGTAGCGTACCTACGAATTACGAAAATTCGGGTTCTAGAATAAAGGCCTGTATGCAGTTCTTAAGAAAAGCTAAAATTCCATACAAAATGACGTACAAGAAATGGCTAAGAAATTTTCTTAAGTCAAATTTCCTTCAGGCAGTACGCAGTTCTTAAGAAATTTGCTACGCTTTTCACTACGGTTTTCTAAAGTTTTTTGTGAAAAAAGAGCACAAGGCAACCCAGGTTTGCAACAGAAATATATGCCCGTTCCATTATTTCTTGAGGAAAGAGTGAGGCAAGAGGCTGTGAAGTATCAAAAATGTCAAAATTCCTTGGCCACACACACGAAATAATGGCCAATTTTTCTTGACCGATTTCTTGAGAGCTGCATACCAGCCTTAAGGGGGTAAATCTGACACTTCGGACTGAAGAGTTACTCCCACTGAGTGTTTCTATCTCATTTTTGATGTCATTATTGAGTTATTAGTAGGGTTCTTTTACGCGATAGTTTGTACCAGTTTGTACTAACCATAACGTTTTGGTATTCTTGTACCCAAAAAACTAGTAAGAAAGGGGAAATTTCCTTTTGAGGAGAAGTTGGTAGTTTTTACTGGATAAATTTTAGCTAGTAAGAACTTGTAAGTGAGAAAGACAGCTGATCGCATGTTGCTGGGTGAGATTGAAACTAATAAAAGAAATGTGTATGAAGTTTTTATAGTTGAAATTGACAAAATAAACCTACTTAAATATACACCCGTAAGGTTAACGCGGTGGACTTAACAATGTGCATGTTTCCAATGGCTTGGAAGAAGCTGTTATTGCATTAACTGGACTGAGAACCAGAGNTTGAAATTGACAAAATAAACCTACTTAAATATACACCCGTAAGGTTAACGCGGTGGACTTAACAATGTGCATGTTTTCAATGGCTTGGAAGAAGCTGTTATTGCATTAACTGGACTGAGAACCAGAGCTTCAGGCATAGGAAGAGTTCTGGCTTGTGTTTCAACAATTCAACCAGAAGCTGACATAGATTCGCCCATGGTTACTATGCCCGACAGCTCCGCATACCTTTGTGAATCCATTGCCATACCGCCCGCTTACTCTGCTGCTATAATTGCAAATACATCAGAATCCATAATTTTTCTCAAAATATGTAAAATTAACCAATTTTATAATAAACATGCACATGATGAGTGTTTTTTTAATTCCTTTTTCCACTTTGGTTTCCTTCATTCAGCTATCTTCGAAAAACAACTGATAGCTGGCAATGCTGCACATGTTTCCTCAAGGGTTGCAGTATGCGGATTTTTCATTTTTCGTAGCGTAGCTACAAATTACGAGTTACGAAAACTCGGGTTCTAGAATAAGGGGGTTGGTTTTTTGCGTTTTTAGTCGAAAGAATGAAAACAACAAAACTAACGTCAAATAAGAATAGAATTGTATGTACAAAACACATTCACACAAGCACAAGCACAATAAACCCTTACTATATATATTATTTTTTGCTACCTTCCACTTTTAATTTTTAGGTTATTCTCACTTTTTGTGTATTCTTTAATTTCCGTTAATTTAAATTCAATTGAGTTTGACACTTTTCAAGATTTTGCCAGCAAAAATTCTTCTGACTAACACCCCTATTCTCACTCACTCATTCGTATTCGGATTTTGCTACGAATCGTAGAAATAGTATGCTGCAATCCGAATCGTATTTTCGAACTTTCGAAATTCGTAACAATGGCATACCCATGATTCAATAATACAAGGTTGGATAACCAGGCAGTTGTCTCGCTCCCGCATTCTGCCTTAGCCTGCGTTGCTTTCTTTTTACCTTCATTTTACTAGCTCGGGATGTAACTATGTAATATTGATGCGCCTAAAAGATGCAGCGATTTCTATTCTCAAGTTATATACCTGATGACAGTACGAATGGCAATTATAATAGGGTTTTTAAACTATAATTTTATTTTATTTATAGAAACTACTACTAAAATACAAGGAGAAATATTTAGTTCGTATAAAAAGTTCAGCAGGCAACACTGCCGACATTTTCATCGATTGTTTTGTGGAAATTCATTTTTCTATTGCGGAAATTCAAGTAAGTATGCCAAAAAATCTAAAATAACGGTAATATTTTGAATTAAAACAATAACTTACATATGTATTTATTTGCAGAGTCTCAGAGTTATTCACAATTCGTATTAAAAAACTAGAGTTTTACAAGTAAAGTTACCACAAACCAAGGCGTATTTAACAAGGTGGTGTTGGCCGTATATAAGTAAAAAATTACACTAACAAATTATAAGCTGATGTCCATACTGTCATTGGTATGAGTTACAACAAACACATCATTTTGACGTAATGGCCTCCACGGCGAAAAACTCAGCTGTCGCCCCAACGCCACCTCGTTTAATACACCTTGCCACAAACCATACAATTACACTGTGGAACAAATTCAGGTTAGCAAAAGTTAGGTTGATTCTGAGAGTGAGAGGTGAAAATAGAGGCTAAATTAGACGACCCGTATCGCGGCGTTTGTTTATGTTAGTTCGGTTTTTTTTTTAATCGACCTTCGAACTTTGCAGTCAAATGCCGATTTTCAGCATATTGTTTATATGGTGTTTTGGCTATAACTCATCGACTAATTGATATTTTTTCAATCTGTTAAAGCCAAATTATTGTTAGAGACCTGTACAACAATTAAAATTACTAAAAAAATTTATTTAGAAAATTTTTGTAGTGCTTATGAAGCAAAATGTTGGAAATTTTTTTTCAAGCTTTTTGAACATATTTTCCACAAAACTAAGTCTTTTTTGCTTTCTGTTTGATCTACAATATGCTTCTCAGTTTCTTCAATAAATTTCATTTGAAAAGAAAACAATCATAATACAAAACTTGCGTTTTCCAGCTTAATATTAATTTACTTCTCATTTCTTATGTACCAATTTTTTCAGTGTTGGTTTTGAAGAAACATTGAAAAAGAAATTATAAAAAAATGGAAAAAATATAATTTTGAAGTGTTAGTTATGAAAAGTTTTAAGTAAAAGAATTAAATTAATTAAATTAATGATTTGGCCAGTTGCCGTTTAGCAGGCGGCTGTGGATCAACATCACTGCTCTCTCTAATATCTTGGTCATCGTCATCATCATCAGAAAGGTCGATAATTTCGTCCAACAGATATTCTGGAATTTCATCTTTGTCTTCCCCTTCTTCCTCTTTTTCCTCATCTTCCTCTTCATCAAAGGTGTTTTTATACCACCAATAAATTTCAGCGAGTATTGCATCTGGAGATGTCTCTCCTCTGTACCTGAAACGAAAAGTTTTCAATCGTTAACATGTTTAAATTGTGCACTCTGACAAAGATATTAGAAAAATCTAGGAATTCAAAATATGCACACTCTATAGTTACCTTATTTCAAATGGAAGCGCAGTTTGGTGATAACGTTCGCCTTGCTCATCAGATTCAGTTGGCAACTGTTGAGCGAGTTGATCAAGATGCTGATGCAAGAGATGAATTTTGTACGACATATTAACCCCAATTTAATCGGAAGCTGCCAACATGTTTGCAACAGATTGCCTGTAGGTGTCTTTGTGTTCTTTACCCAAAAGTCCTTTAATGACTGCTTTCAATGCGAGCCATGCATTTAATTCTCGGTCTGTCAGAACTTGGTCAAAATCTTGACGACTCATTAGTTTCCGTATGTCGGGACCATTAACAACCCCTTCCTGAATTTTGGCGTTACTTAGTCTTGGGAAAATGTCTTTTAAGCGGTTGAATACTGCTGGTCTTTTTGCGATAAATTTCAAAAAAATTTTAGCAATGCCTAGTTTAATGTGGAGCAACGGCAACAAAATTTTCATTTCAGGAACAAGACTTTCGTGTAGCCTATTGTCTTGAGGCCATTTCCGTCTAATGCGACTATTCCAGTTATGCTGTTTGTACTGGTTTCTTCCTTTAATACCTTCTCTGTAGCTTGAATCCCAATCGCACAAAAAACACGGATTTTTTTGACGGCCAGATGCTGTTAAGCCTGTAATCAATGAAACTATTTTGAGGTCGCAGCAAATGCGCCACTGGTGTTCGTTATATTTGACTACTTCCAGAATGTGTTTCAAATTATCGAAATTTTCACTAGTGTCAGTGCTATACGCAATTGGAACAGAAGGCATTCTATTCGTCTTGTGCAAAAGCACAACTTTTAAGCTGATTAGTGAACTATCGATGAATAAACGCCAATCATCTTTTTTATAGGTTAACCCTATCGTCTCCATTAACTTTTCGTTATCGTTGCAATAAGCGAAATTTTTTGCATCATTCACATTGAAGAACTTTTCTAACTCTTTTTGGCGTTTTCGATATGCTGTTACTTTGGTACCTTTCACCAGCAAATTATTTCCTTTCAAAAATGAAGCCAGTTGTTCTGATTTTTTCTGAGTCAAATACAAAATTGCAACAATTGCATCCAATTGCTTTTGTGTGACTAGGATTGGGTCCTTTGATGTTTCATAGGATGTACCTTCACCAGGGTCGTATTCTGAGAAGAAATGCATGGATATAGCAGCGACGGCTGTATTACTGATATCTGTTTGAAGATCAATACTTCGGTATGTTGATACTGGAACGAATTCTGAGTGCGGTAATGGTAATTGGACACTTGGCACTGCTACATAAGTTTTATTCTTTGCTTTCCTTCTATTCAAAGTTTTATGGTAGTTGATNTGCGGTAATGGTAATTGGACACTTGGCACTGCTACATAAGTTTTATTCTTTGCTTTCCTTCTATTCAAAGCTTTATGGTAGTTGATACATCCATAGCAATTTTCTTGTTGATGCGGGCTGTTGTCTAACCACATCATTGGTATATCAAAAGGCATAGCCTTCTTCTTTTCAGTTTTCCATTGCATAACACTTGAATAGCAATTAAAGCAAACTTTTTTAGGGGCATAGTTTACGTCAGTGATAAACTCTTGCGAGAAATATTGTTTATAGGCTTCCAAAAAACAATCACTTGCATTGCCACATTTTTCATCGCTTGAAATTTTACATTTTGGTTCCGACATTTTTAATACAATATATATTATACAATGTTGTTTTTGTTATTTTTATGAAACCGATGCACTTAACTTAAATCACTCACAAAATTAAATAAGTTCCAAAAAAATTAATAGCGAATTTTATCACGACCGAGCGAAAATTAAAAGACATCAGCTTCGGCTGAGTTTCGAGTCCTAACTGAATCTTTATTTTTGATATTAGTTCGCTTGTACGAAATAAATAAAAATCGCTACATGTGCGGTGGTTGGAAACAAAAAAGAGGAAGACGAGGAAAAAGAGGAAGAAGGGGAAGAAATTTATCGGTCGATTAAAAAAAAATTCGAACTAACATAAACAAACGCCGCGAACGGGTCTTCTAATTTAGCCTCTATTTTCACCCCTCACTCTCAGAATCGACCTAACTTTTGCTAACCTGAATTTGTTCCACAGTGTTATTGTATCCTACCATTTCAAACCCCACTACATGCATACGATGACGAAAATCTTCAGACATATGAAGAAGACTCGAAAATGCCAGAGACAACATACGGAAAATGGTTTAGAAGAAATAAAGAGGATACTGTCCGCATCCGTTGGGTTTTAAGCAGATGCGCAAGCGATATGTAATAGAAAACATTACCAAAAATAAAATAAAAAATATAAAAATAAAATAAAAAATATAAAAATAAAATAAAGCAAATGTAATTCAAGTTAAGCTGTTAATGATATAATTTTTAAATGTAACTAATATAATTATTAACAAGACTGATTGCAGAAAACAGTAGAAAACATTCCCAAAATTTTACANCAGTAGAAAACATTACCAAAAATTTACATGTTTAAAAAACCAAATGTAATTAAATTACGNGTTTTAAGCAGATGCGCAAGCGATATGTAATAGAAAACATTACCAAAAATAAAATAAAAAATATAAAAATAAAATAAAAAATATAAAAATAAAATAAAGCAAATGTAATTCAAGTTAAGCTGTTAATGATATAATTTTTAAATGTAACTAATATAATTATTAACAAGACTGATTGCAGAAAACAGTAGAAAACATTACCAAAAATTTACATGTTTAAAAAACCAAATGTAATTAAATTACGATATTGAAGATATATTTTTTAAATGTAACCACTATAATAATCAACAGACTGATTGCAAAAAAGTACAAAACGTTAAAATTAAATTTTAATTAAAAAACCAAATGTAATTAAATTACGATATTGAAGATATATTTTTTAAATGTAACCACTATAATAATCAACAGACTGATTGCAAAAAAGTACAAAACGTTAAAATTAAATTTTAATTAAAAAACCAAATGTAATTAAATTAGGATACTCAAAATCTTATTTAATAACGATAAATGTAATTAAATTACGATACTGAAGACATATTTTTTAAATGTAACCAATATTATGATTAAGAAGACTGATTGTAAAAAAAGTACAAAACATTAAAAATAAATTTTTATTACAAAACCAAATGTAATTAAATTAGGATACTCAAGATCTTACTTTTTAATGTAACCAATATAATTATTAGCAAGACTGATTGGAGAAAAAAGTAGAAAACATTACTAAAAAATTGAGATTTGTAAAAAACCAAATATAATTGAATTCAAGATATTTAATATGTAATTTTTAAATGCAACAAATATAATTTTTAATAGATTAATTTATATGCATTATATCAATTCCGTCATTACTATTTGTATATTTCTTCATATAGTCCCTTCGAATAAAGGATTTGTTTGAATTCCATTAATTTTGTTTAATATATACTAGAATTTCATTGCAACCATGGTTTATTTTGAATATTTGGGAATATTTGTCGATACGATTTTCTTTGGTCAGAATTTTACGTAAATATTCATTTATTTCATTTTAATATCTATATGGCATATTTATTATACCATAAAAAAGTTAATTCATTGTCTATTGTGTAGATAAGTGGAATCCTCTTCATATATTTAATTAAATTAAAAAAAAAAAAAACATTTCAGCACTACCACACTATTTATCCTACTAACTTATCACAAAAGGGGATAAAATGGTTACCCGCTTTCTGTTTCCTTCTCAAATGCAACCTTACAAGGCAGTCGATTGACACAAATGTCCATATTTATCCAACCTTGTATTATTGAATCATGGGCATGCCTAAAAACGAACGAGTACGCTTTTTTGCGTAATTTTGTACGAANCACAAAAGGGGATAAAATGGTTACCCGCTTTCTGTTTCCTTCTCAAATGCAACCTTACAAGGCAGTCGATTGACACAAATGTCCATATTTATCCAACCTTGTATTATTGAATCATGGGCATGCCTAAAAACGAACGAGTACGCTTTTTTGCGTAATTTTGTACGAAAAAACTTCTGTGTCGGAGGAGAGATAAAAGACGTAAATCGATGTGTGTTTGCAGGAAATATTAGTGTTGTTCATTTAAACAGATAAATTTGTCCTTCGCATTTAAGTATATTTTTATCCACTGCTTTATATAAACGAGTAAAACAGAATATTTGTTGCCCCTGATCGAGAAACTTGGGTCCGGTTTAGTTATTTGTACAAAGATTTTCAGTTGTTGTGTCCAAACGCATAATCCGAATCCAAAAACTTTAACATCACGTGTAATCAAAGCATTAAAATTTTATTCAAAATACGTAAAATCAAACAATTTTACTATAAATAAGCGCTTCATGAGTGTTTTTTTAATTCCTTTCCACATTGTTTTCCTTCATTCAGACATCTTCGAAAAACAACTGATAGCTGGCAATGCTGCATATGTTTCCGGGTTGCAGCATGTGGATTTTTCGTTTTTCGTAGCGTAGCTACGAATTACGAATTACGAAAATTCGGGTTCTAGAATATGGGGTAAATCTAACTACTTCGGACTGAAGAGTCACTCCCACTGAGTGTTGCTATCTCATTTTTTCTGTCATTATTGAGCTATTAATAGCGTTCTTGTACGCGATAGTTTGTACCAGTTTGTACTAACCATAACGTTTTGGTGTTTTTGTACCCAAAAAACTAGTAAGAAAGGGGAAATTGAGAGCGCAAAGTGACATTTCTTTTTGAGGAGAGGTTGCTAGTTTTTACTGGATAAATTTTTGATAGGAAGAACTTGTAAGTGAGAAAAACAGCTGATCGCATGTTGCTGGGTGAGATTGAAACTAATAAAAGAAATGTTTATGAAGTTTTTATAGCTGAAATTGACAAAATAAACCTACTTAAATATACACCCGTTAGGTTAAGGTGGTGGACCTAACAAAGTGCATGTTTTCAGTGGCTTGGAAGAAGCTGTTATTGCATTAACTGGATTGAGAACCAGAGCTTCAGGCATAGGAGGAGTTCTGGCTTGTGGTTCAACAATTCAACCAGAAGCTGACATAGATGCGCCCATGGTTACTATGCTCGACAGCTCCGCATACCTTTGTGAATTAACCAATTTTACAATAAACAAGCACATGATGAGTGTTTTTTTAATTCCTTTCCACTTTGTTTTCCTTCATTCAGATATCTTCGAAAAACAACTGATAGCTGGCAATGCTGCATATGTTTCCGCAAGGGTTGCAGCATGTGGATTTTTCATTTTTCGTAGCGTAGCTACGAATTACGAATTACGAAAATTCGGGTTCTAGAATAAGGGGGTTAATCATTAAAAGGGTCTTTCATTAATTAAGTAGAGTACAAAGGATTCAGTGGCCGGTGCACTTTTGTCCCAGGAGGAAGAATAGCTAACAGTTGCATTAATATACAAAGGAGATTGTTAGGAGATTGTTCTGATCCATTTAGCTTAAATGATAAAATGTAACCTCCCTCTTTTTAAGGGCCTCCATTTCACTAGATATTCCACGACATCCTCTTTAGCTCCTTTTACAAGGCCTCGACCAATGTCTGGCCTTTCGCTCATGCATTCCACCAGTTTTTCGTATTGCGAGCGATTTGTTGTGATCTTCGATATGTTAATTTTGTAAACACTTAATAATACATTTGTTTTTCTATTCATACATCAACTTACATATACATAGTTACATATTTTTGCGTTTACACACTATTTTATTGACATTTTAAAACAATTAAAAATAAATTTAAAAATGACAGTTAGTACGTCGGATTCCGGCATACCAACATTACGAATTTCGAAGATAGCCTACAAATTTCGAAATTACGATACCACAACGCGGATTTCAGCATACCAATTTTACGATTCGCAGCAAAATCGAAACTACGACGGATTATAGCATATGGGTGATAATATTGTTTTATTAAGAACTAGCTGCGAATAAATAAGAGATTAATCAGCTGTTCGTAAAACTTGCAAATTATTACTGGTTTTTCGTTCTTGTACTTTTGTGCTATAAGAGCGAATTTTCAGAAATTAAATTACTGAAAAATTACTGGCAAGTTACTGGACAATTTGTAAAAGAATACAACTATTAAGGAACTCTTTTTGGACTAAATTTGACTACTTCGGACATTTTCTGACTATTTCTGGGAGATAAGGAACGCAACTATAGAATCATGGTTGGATAGGATATCAACTTGAGAACTATGAATTTCTCCAAGGTTGGAGAAATATTTTGTTGGTATTGGGATGCATGAAGTCGAAATCGTTGATAATAATAATTGGGTTCCAATAATATTAATATTTTCTAAACTAAGTAACCGATTAAAAAAGTAATGATATCAAAATAGACAATTAATCTATCTTTAAGTTGATATATAAAATGTGTTTGCTTGCTTATATATTTAAGCCATATTAAAAAACAAATAAAATGTTATAATTTTTCCATAAAATAACCTTTTTTTGAAAAAAGTGCATAATCAATGCTAAAGACATATATATCATACCCGACCAAGGGTTGTTGTTTCGGCGATCTAACCCCGTTTAGGTCGGCGAAGTATCTCAGAAGTTGTTCGTCCATAGGGCTACATTCGTTACGTTTTCTTCTACTCAGGCATGGGCGTAGCCAGGTAAGGACAGGGGG